ACCATTAGCCACCACATAGAGACGAGCATTCTGATCGCAATTAGCTGTCCGAAGGGGGAAGTGTTCGCCTGTGATAGGTTGCAAATGGGGTTCTATCTCAACGTTAGCACAGACCTCGGATAATAATGTGGCGGTGATGTCACGAACCTTGTTATGGTGGATAGATGGAAAACGACCAGCAGGGCATGATAAAGCATGGTCCAAGGAGAAATTTTGACCACAGGTGCAGTCAGATGGAGTGTCCAGGATATCCCATCCGTACTGCAGGTGAATAGCATCTCTGAAAGCAGATTTGTGGATTTGTGGAAGTGAAAACCCAGGGAGCTTAAGGGGAGAGCCGAAACCCAGTTTGATGCTCCTTTCTCAGTACATTGGTCGATACTATACTGGGTGGATGGATCAAGGTGGTCTTTGAGATCGGAGGCTAGAGCAACGAGACTGTCGTGATGTTGAGAAGTAACGGTGGACTTGATTTTGACAGTGGACTTGATACTGACTTGGGAGATGAGTACAGGGATTAGTAATGTTTAGGCCACCAAGACAATAGGGGAGGGATAATAGCTTACGAATGGTGTCGCTGGGATGGTATAGGCCAGTCAGTTGGGGGATTAAGGTCTTACAGATTACTGTTTCCAAAGGAAGCAGAGGGTCCGAGTTTGAGGTCAGAAAGGAAATGTCAGTGACCCTAGCGAAATAATTCCAGCTGGCGGAGACTCCATGAGTAAACCCGGCAAAAGCTGCATGAGGTTTCAACTCAGCGATGGTAGAGAGTGTGGTGACCTCATTAACCCACAACTGGACTTTCCGAGCTAGTGTCTCTGAGATGAACGCTTCAGAGTCAATGACACCACCGAGATAAGGGTTACCATCTGTGACTATCTCGAGACCAGTGTTAGCAAAGACCTCAACCGCTCGGGCGTAAATATCAGATTTCACTAGTAGACGAGTCTTACGTTTGTTGGGATAGTAGCCATATTTTGGACCAAGTTTACAAAGTTTGGACCACCTGTCATGAAGAACTTCAAGGTTGCCACCAGCAGCAGAGTCATCAGCATACCAGACCTGCTGAGTCTGAGGAGATTCCAGTGATTTGATTAGAGGTTGAATAATAATAATAACAATAATAAGAAAAAATAAAATAATAATAATAATAAGAATTAAAAAATAAATAAATAAATAAAAAAATAATATTGCTTTCTCACTTTCATAATAATAATAACAATAATAAAAAAAAATAAAATAATAATAATAAGAAGAATTAAAAATAAAAAAAATAAAAAAACTTATAATATTCATTTCTCACTTTCATAATAATAATAACAATGAAAATAACAATAAAAATAATAATAATAATAAATAAAAAAATAAAAAAGAACAATAATAATAATAATAATAACAATATTCCTTTCTCACTCTCATAATAATAATAACAATAATAATATGCCTAGGCCTTCCTGCCTGTGCTCCCCACTCATGTCGTCACTGTGGGGCCCCCATTTGCAGTTTGGGACATCATGGTCTCTCGTGTAAGAAGGGAGGTATGCGGTTTCATCGTCATGCTGCCATCAATGACATCCTCCACCGGTCACTCTCTTCTGCTGGTATCCCAGCCTGTTTGGAGCCCTCATGTCTTTCTAGGTCTGATGGGAAACAGCCTGATTGACTCACCCTCATACCCTGGGAACGTGGGAAGCCTTTGGTCTGGGATGC